AGCAATTTAATCAGTCAATAAAATTGTTTTTATTAGTATTGAGATCATGTTTAGGAGTCGTTCACTAATGATGTCTGTTAAAAAAATATGCTTTTAGACTAAACTCACTTTCTCTGCCAAAAAATTTCCCTTTTTTGAGATGTCACAAAAATCCTAGACCCCTCTCCCCCTTCTAAAGGTCAGACATCTTTGAATCTTAAAAATCCTTTTAAATTAAAATGTTGTTCTGCACCAGGCGCGTAGCCAGGGGGTGGATTTGGGGGACAAATTTGTCACTCCTCTTCAAATTCCTGGCTACGCCCCTGTTCTGCACCCTTGAATATCTAAAACTATTGTCATGTAAATCTATTGCACTGTATAACCTGGTATACTAAGTAGGTTCACGGCATTAAAGGGGTTCTTACATTTATAACACTCCACATTGAACCTCTATAGCTGCCCTTATCATTCAGCAAACTCATATATACCAAACACAAACCTTAATTCAAACTACAGTCAAACATGCACAACTTAATTCAAAACTCTTCGTTAGCCACATGCTAATGCTTATTTAATTCAAATATAAAGCCCACAAATATCCATTAAAATTCGACCGATTTCCATCATTCAATATTGAGTGACTATACAAAAAAGAAACAGCCTGACAAGGCTAAAATTAAGCCCAAAAAGGAAATAGAGCAAGAGAGGAAAGCCCTCCAGCGAAATGAATGGAGAAAAAGGCAGAAAACTTCATATCTGCATAAATATGGTAACGAAAATAAAGGAAATAAACAGAATCGTATAAAATATTTATGGGCAAAAGCGAATGATATTGATTTTGAAGGGAGCAAAACTTCCTTTTCGTCTCAGTTGTTGAAATCATAAAGTCAGATTTTTTTTCCTGCCTTGATATTAAAGAAAACGAAGCGAGACGTATGTAAGTACACATTCATACACAGCACATACAGAATATTATTATTTGTTTGTTATCACAGTCATCATCACACGCAGATAAATGAGAAATATACGAAGAAAAAAAGGTCTCAAGTGAGATATGTGCTGCATACATACACGAACAATATTCAGTTGGATGATAAAAGTTCTATTTTCTTTCTGTAAACTAGTTTTACTGTCGTCAATTTTCATGCTTCATTTATCGAAATATTGAATCAGGCAAAAATAAGAGACGAGAATCAGTCAAGGGAATGAGGCAAAAAAATCAATAAAATGAAAATAACAATGTGAAATGTTGCATGATATGTGGGTGGTACGTAATCAGAATAAGATGCTGTATATTGTGATATCGTATACAACCTGTCTTGTGCTTATACATCTCAATCTCAATATTAAATGTGTTCTGTCATTCTCAATGTCATGCTATCTCTAGGGAAATTCAAGTAAATGTGAACCACACACATAAAGTCGCTGTTTTCTTTTTTTTTTAAAAAAAAAATTCAGTTTTTAAGAAGAATGATAGAGGAATAGATGATGGGGGAATTGTAGGATTATTTGTGGATTGAACGCTGTTTTTTTTTGAGGTATTTTAGTGACTTTATTGATGAAGTCTACTAAGTTCATCAAGGATAAGACAAGTGTCGTGTAAAAAACGCTCTGATTGGGACAGCAACTCTCTACTTAGGTAGGAATCGAACTTACGTCTTCTTGATAAAAATCAAATTTTTTACTCCTGTGTGACCACTCGGTCACACAGGCTTAAGATAAACATTAATAACAATTAACAATTTGCCATAATCTATCTAGAAGTGTAGCCAAGACTCGACCCTCTTTACCTTGACCAGCAAATTTCTTCAGTTTTTTAAGAACAAAATATCAAAAGCAATTCACCTACCCGCTGAAAAAAATTCAAATTGCATCCCCAAATCCACCCATTAAACCTCCAGTCAATCAGCCAAAACAACCTCAACCCCAGCACTTTTTTCATCCATCACTTCAACATGAGCTTGAAAGATGAAAAATTGAGCCTTTAAATTCTCCTTCTCTTCATCTCAAGAGTGTGTATTCATAGCAGTTGCCTAGCAAGACTTTAATAAAGAAAACTTTTTATATATGTTCAGTATGGATTAAACTCAAGACACATTTGAGAGTTGGAAAATGGCTTTTTTGTGAGATATAAATATGGAGAAAAAAAAAATCTGGTATTTATTTGTGTTTACATAGATATGTAGACAACAGAGATTAACTGTTGCACATAGGATGTGTAACATCTTTTTTTTTGTGCTTACTAAATTGTTGAAAATCTTTTTTGTGGTGCATAAAATCTGAAATATTTAGAAATAATATGTGAGGATGTGTTGGACTGAAAGATTCTTGTGGATTTGATTGGAATGTTGTCTATGGGGTCCAATTTTACTTACTTACTCACTTACTTCCTTAGCTGGTCCATTGTTGCGTTCAGAGATCGTCTAAAGACAGCACTTTCCTTTCAGACCTTCTGCCAGTTCGGGAAATTAAGGATTTTAGCGTCCTTATCAACACATCCAATCCAGGTATTCTTTGGTTATAACTTCCAAAATTAACGGTCATTTCTCAAAAAAGAATATTGGATTTCCAGGAATTTCTATTGTTCTTTTCTTGTTGACCCCTCCCCCCCCCCTCCTGGACGTCATAAGTGGGGCCGTTCAGTATTCACTGATTCTGTGAATTGTAAGATATGATTTTTCTACATCATGTTATGCATCTCCTGATTCTTTCCCTAGCAAAGCTCCTTCCCTAGCATTCATCAAAAAATATTCAAAACTAAAATTCAAAATTAATTAAAAAGTTTCAAAATCTCGTTTAGCAACAAACTAATCTCATTTCGCTCATCAAACTCATTCTAATGAGCATAAATTATTCCATAAAATTCCAATTTCATTTCAAATTATTCAGACTTGATTAAACTCGATAATTTCTCAGATTTCAATGTTGTTTACGATATCACACAAAGAGGAAGAAGTTAAAATTTCAGGTTTTAATCATCGATTATTTTAATGTCTTATTCTTCATCGCACCAAAAAAAGAGTCATCGTGCATATTAAATTAGTTAAGAGACGAGCTTAAAATGATTAAATTAAAATTTACGATCAATTTTTCACCATCTTATCTTCGTCTTGTGTGTTTCTCATCTCTTTTATCTCAGCACAGATTCTATTTTTTGAAAAAAGTATTAATTTCTGTTCTGTCCAGTTATGGAAAATGTTAAGCTTATAAATAATATGCCATATTTATATCAAAACAAGTTAAGCTCGTGATAGTTGTTTGAGGTGTGAAGGTAAATAAGTTTCATTTAATAATCTCTTGTAGATTTAAGACTAATTGAATATTTCATATTTTAATGGGGATAATTAGTTTTATCATGTAAACGATGCAGTTTATCTTGTGAGATTATGTCATGGTGCAGTTTGTGGGTATGTGGTAGATTAATTAGCCTTGCAGCTGGATATTGTGGTTATGATATGAATTTAAAAACATCATGCAAGTAGTTAAGGGGATGACTCAGCTCGAGTATATATTTAAGTGAATTTAGGGATAAAATATGAGAAAAGTTGGAGACTATAATAAAAAAAATTCATAGCAGTTTAAAGCTGTTAATCAAACAGCTTTGCTCATGTAACTTTGATCTAGTAGCTTTGCTTAAGTAACTTTACTCAAGTAACTTTGCTCAAGTAGCTTTGCCAAATTTACGTTGCTCAAGTAGCTTTGATCAAGTAGCTTTGTTCAAGGAGCTTTGCTCAAGTAGCTTTGCTCAAGTAGCTTTGCTCAAGTATCTTTGCTCAAGTAACTTTGCTCAAGTAGCTTTGCCAAATTTACGTTGCTCAAGTAGCTTTGTTCAAGTAGCTTTTCTCAAGTAGCTTCGTTCAACGAGCTTTGCTCAAGTAGCTTTGTTCAAGTAGCTTTGCTCAAGTAACTTTGTTAAAGTAGCATTGCCAAATAATCTTTGCTCAAGTAGCTTTGCTCAAGTAGCTTCGATAAAGTAGCTTTGTTCAAGTAGTTTTGCTCAAGTAACTTTGTTAAAGTAGCATTGCCAAATAAACTTTGCTCAAGAAGCTTTTTTCAAGTAGCTTTGCTCAAGTATCATTGTTCAAGTAGCTTTACCCAATTAACTTTGCTCAAGTAAATTTGTTCAAGTAGCTTTGGAGCATTGTTGGTCAGTACAGTTTCTCCAACAACTTAAGACACCTTATTCAACGAAATCAAAAAAAAAACACAACTCAAATCTTTCCCAAGACAAAAAGAAAAACAATCCGAGTGAAATAAATTCTCATAATTACCAGAATCATTAACCTTATCATTCAGACTTCCGCATATTTGTTGACCTAATTTTACAGTTGATGCTTATGGATTCCGCAAATTAATCATATTATATTACACGCTATAATATGTTATATACTGCATAATTTAATATTCTTTCTTCGTCATACTTCAGTCAACATTTAAACAATCAAGAACATTTACAAGCTTAATGTTGAATGTTTTCAGAGTGTTTTACTGCTAAACATGCGATAATTTCACAGACATGTGTGTATAGCATGCGAAAATAATAAGAAATAACGTTTCATGCAAAGTGTAAAGCTGAAAAGAGGAATTTTCACGGTTGAGGAATTTTTGCCTTTAATTTTATTCTTATTTCTTGGGATTTACTCGAATTTAGAGATTTTAGATAAGTTTTTAATGAGAATTCATTACCAACTAAATTACAGAAATAAATGTTCTAACAGATAGAATAAGTACCATATTCACACATGTACTTTCCACTCGACTGACTTCACATTATTAAAAAATAAAAAAAATTCAGACATAAAAGAGGGAAAATGAGAATATTTTGCATAAATTAACATAATAACAATAAGAATGAGTTCAAAAGACGCGGTCACAGTTTCATATTTCACAGTGCGGCACTTGAAATGAGCAGAATATTCAGTACATTGACCTCCATTAAAGAATAAATTTTATTTCACTTCCACCTGACCCTTTTTTCTTGTTCTTTACTCATAAAAATTATTTCTTTTTTTCCATTTCAGATCAACATCAGATCGCTCAGGTAAAGACTGTTGTGGTCAGTGGTTCAATGGACCTCCATTAAGATTTCTTGTAGCTCTGGTTGCTCTTGGTGGTGTGGCATGTAAGTTACGACTTTAAATTCCATATGCTAATGAAATCTTACAAGTTTACATGCTTTCAGGCACACTTGGTGGTGCGACTTTGGGATCAATTGCATTAGCTGGTTCACCGACATCACATCTTACAGCTGGATTGCTGATGACTGGTGAGTTTAGTCGAGTTGAATGAAATTTCTATCGAGGATTTAAGATCTAAGTGAAAGTTTCTGTCTTGTTGATGAGTTTTCGTATCGCTGATGTGAAATAATTGAAGAAATTTTAAAGTTGGAGATTCTACTGATGCACTGGATCAGAAAACTGCTGGGTTTGGTGGGGCTAATAACACTGATGAATATAGGATTTAATATTATGCTCTGGGATGCTTTGGGGATCTGTAAATGGTTTGCAATAAAGATGCAAGTATAAGGGACACGAATTGGTCCAAATTTGAAGCATGCAACAAGAAATCCTTATAAAACTCTCTTAACAAAGCAATAGAGCACCAAAACTTTCCTACAACTTAAGACTCACAAAAGGGCGAAAGAAAGACAAAAACTCATTAGAAATGCAAATGACAGCTCAACGTTTTTTGCTGCTCTTACTGCCGCTTTTGTTATTTTTGGATGGGTGACTTTGTAATTTTATTAAAAGGGAACGACAAAAAAAAAGAGTAAAATGGAAATTGATATTTTCGATTACTTCCCAATAGCTTGAAGAAGGAAATGAAAGAAGAAAGGAAAAGATGGGAAGATTAATTCGGAATTTATTTTCATTTAATTCAATTAATATTGGCTGTTAAGATGCAGAGGATTGAATTTTATGTCACAATCGATTTTCTTTCGTTTTATTTAATATTTTATGGGCTTTAAGGAGCTCGTTGTGGAGGAATAAAATTATATCATTGGAATTGGAAAGTATTTTGAGGTTGTAATGATGTTTTATGATTTATGAGGATTTATTTGAGATGACGTGGTGATGGAAGGGGGGTTTGAGGCTCAGAATTATGTGGAAATGAACTTATTTACCTTCTTAAGCCAGCTAGCTCCTAGTTCTTTTAAGAGAGGCATAGAAAATAGGGGATCAAGCCAGGCAGGAGGAAACTAAAACAATAATGCTAGTGATCTAGTCATTTACTGCTTCTAGTTCTTGTCATGCTTCATAAATCCCACCACATGATCAACATAACCTCAAAACCCATTCCTGACACAACCTCCTCACAACGTCATTCTCTGAACTTTAAAATAATTATTTTTCAAGAATATAGCACAAAGTTAATTGAAATCTTCCATAATCCTTAAATGAATATCCTTCTTCAGTTTTCTATTTCCATCCATAAGTTGCCTTCGATATTTCATTAAAATAATTTCAAGTCCTTAAAAATACAGAACGGAAAAGAAGAAAAAGTAAGACAAGAAAACAACGACAGACATTTATAAAGGAAGACAAAAATTTCCATAAAATGAAAGCGAGTCGACAATAATCCTCTTACTCATTCACTCACTTACCATTGTAATTATTCGTGTACTTTAAAAATTAAGTAATTAAGCTCCTTACCTATTACCGCTGAACAGTTTCTTTTATGGTGAATTGTTTTTTGAGGAATTGGTGGAATTAGAAAAGTTTTTTTTTGTCTTGATGCTGTGAACTGGGTTTGATTTGGAGAAGGCCGGGATATTTTGAATAGCTCAGCTCCTGAACGAGACATATTAAATGTTGTTCTTAAGATGGATAAATAGATTCAATTGGTAGCTTGAAAATGGTTGGTAAAGACTGTTCATGTTGATACCTTCTGCCAAGTGGGTCCTGCTTGTATTCAAGATTCTGATTTATCTATCAGCGAAAAGGAAGGTGTGTTGTAGCTTCATCTGACATCACTTAAGCGCGACAGAAGAAAAAACCTTTTTATGTGCAACTCCAAGTAAATAATTCCTTGACATTTTAGAAATGCGCTTTAGTCCATTCCATCTAAAACGTTCTTACTTGATCATCCTTTTGATGTTCATCTCCCGCTACTTTCTTCTTTAATCTATTGATAAGAAATAATTAAAATAATATTTTCACTAATTTCCAAAGAAAACGAAGCGATTTAAAGCGGCAGCAATTTTTTTGTGGTTATTCGACAAAATTCTCAATTCAATTCCTCTAATGAAAGCTTGCCAAAAGATTTTTCGATCAACCGATTTATCATTTCCTTAATGTGACACAAATTGGCATAAAAACTTGCTTGTTCCAACACATTTAATGGCATAAGTTATTATTAAATGTACAATTTTACATTGCATATGGAAATTAACATGGCGAATGATATTAGGAAGTGATTTTGATGTACAATGAGGCACGAGAAATAATTTGAATAGTTTCCAAAAATTTGACATTCTAAACAGCTTTAAGATGCGAGGATTGATGTTGGGAATGTGATGGAACATTGATTGAAGGAGCCTCAACATTGAGTTGTTTTAAAAATTGATTTTAAAATTTTAATCCAATTTTGTTCAATTTAATTGATTCTGACGTATTGCTGAGGCAGCTAGGCTTAAAAATCATGAGTTTTCTATCAATTATAAACTCAATGTTAGCAAAAAAAGCTTTGATTACAATTTTGATAAATGCTGTTGACTTAGGGGGTCATTCATTTAGATGTCCCACATTTGGGGAGGTACTTTCTTACTTCCTTGGTTGGCACAATCGCACGTGGGCTGATTGTCGCGTTCAGAGATCATCTAAAGACAGATCTATCGTTCGAAACCTTCTGCAGTTCTTATTAACACATCCAATCCAGGTATTTTTTTTTTTTTGAGAAGGTCCGGGGTACAAAATAAGGCCCACGTTACAAAATGGACAAACGCCATATTAAGATGGTTCCAAAAAATTCAAATTATTAGTGGACGTCATTGATAAATGATCCCTTATGCTACTCAAATTGAATAAAATAGCCATCAACTTATTTAATTCATAAAACTGAATCTGAAGCATGTAAAGCACTAAAAACAGAATCTCAAAAACTTTTCCAATCAACATCCACTCCACCCATACAATTCAAATATAAAATCTATTTCCACACCTACATAAAATGAAAATTCACATCTAAAAACTTTTTCCCAAATGCTTCTTGAATGCAACTTCCATTTTCATCCTACATACCTCCTCAAAAAAAAAAGAAGAATATTACAAAGTACACCGTTAAGGAAGTGATGAGCGGGAACTGCATAAAAAAATTTCAACGCTAAGTAATTTTATGATTATTTTTATTGACATTATCAAACATCATTAGCAAGCATAAAGCTGAATATGCACGACTATATTTTTAATGCAATATTCATGTCTCAACTGAGAGAATGAAAAGAAGTTTCATTTTTTTCACTTTATGGGAAGCTTTATAGTTTCCTTAAGTGCTTCCTTGCATGAGTTTTTCATCTTCTTCTCGTTTCGTCGCTTTTTCGCCATATACCTTTAGACATGCCATTTTGCATAAAAAAATGAAAATTGCCAAAAAAATAAAGCTCATTATTATGAGCTGACAAAAAATTTGAAAGTTAATAGCGGAAATTGAAATGTCTTTTTTCGTTGGGACTGATGAGGATTTTGGTTATTTTGGTATCTGGGAGTGGATTTGAAAGAAGAGCATTAAGTTTAAGGGATTTAAGGAGCATGTTTTAAAATTCAATGTGTCTAAAGTCACCTCAATGCATTCAACGATTATTAAAGAGCTGAAGCTAGTTTTTGAAAGCCTTAGGACAAAATCAGAAATTTTTGGAACAAAATCAGAAAGGTTGAACTTTGTATCGCTTAAAGGCCGGTTTCTAAGGCTAAAAGCAACCTGTTCTATTCTCGGATCAATTTTATTCATTATCCCTTCTGAATTATATTGAAATAAACAGTTGATCTTTCAGGGCAGTGGTGTCCAACCTTTTTCGTACCACGGGACACCTTAGTTTTAAGCCATGACCAAAACCACACATGGCATTAGGTTTGTGGTCGAATTTTTTTTAGCACCGTGGCACAAAGATTGAACATTACTGATCTAAGGGGCGTTCACTTATGACGTCCAGGAGGGAGGGGGGGGGGGGGGGGTCAGCAAGAAAAGAACAATAGAAATTCCTGGAAATCCATTTTTTTTTGAAATATGACCGTTAATTTCGGATGTCATAAGTGAACGACTCCTAAGGGCTTCTGAGGAGTCCTAGATACCAGCTCAGAAGCGACAAAAATTCAACCTAACCCCCTCCTCCCCTCCAAAATTTTCTGGTTTTCAAAATATGTATACTGACGTCTTTAAAGCAGGCTAAGTGTCAAATCAACTCTCTCGACTAAAACTATAGCTACGCTTCCTAATAACTCCAATGCTACTAGCTTCATAATATGAATTTTCATCATCTTAGTCAAACTTATCGACCTTAGTCTTCAAAACTTTATCGTCTATTATTCATCATTCTTTTTTATTCGCATTCAATGAAGACAGAAACATCCAATACCAAAATCCTACTTTTATTAATAAAATTGATTAAATTATGAACAAGAACTTACTCCTTTATTTTCATTCTTTACTTTAGGTGTTGGAATAGTCCTCGTAACAATCAGCGGAGTTGCATGGCGTATGACAACATCAGATACACATCAATGTACAGGACGATGCGGTAGACGTCAATGTAGTCGTGGAAATTCTTCATTTGGTTTATTATATCCTGAATTTCAACATAGACCACCACCACCATCATATCAAGCAAGCATGCAAGAGCACCGACTGCGGTAAGCCATTTATTCATTTGCTAGAGATTTTTTTTGCTGTGTTTCTGTGTATTTAAGCAGCTGAAAAGGAAAAAGTTTTTTAATTAAAATTTTATGTTATTTTGTCTTTCATTGAATGCATATACATGTATACATAACATACAGGATAATGATGTTAGATCGGGAAAGACAAACATCAAATACACGCGCTTCACCACCGCCCTCATATCGTTCGAATACTGGTACACTTTTGAGGTTTGTATGATAATGATTTTTTTTTCATTCTGCTTCCTCCTGCCTCGTGGGAAATTTAGAAATGAAAACTGTATGTTTGTGACCCCCCAAAACTTTTTCTTTGCTCACCAAAAAAAGAAAAAATTGTTGTTGTTATTTTCAACTCGAGATTTAGTTTTAGAAGCTCTTTAGACATAAAAAAAGTTTCAAACCGAAAAAGTTATGTTGGCAAGGTCAAGAGGACGACTTTTGGATATGAAAAACAATTTTTTTCTTGCTCCATCAATGGTCGTAAATTTTAAATGACAAGTTTTGGGAAGAAGAATTAATAAATAACAGATTAAATCGGTAAATTAATGCTTATTTGTGGTTTCAAAATAAATTTTAATGTGGTTTTTGTGGGGAATTGAATTTGAAATTTTGAAGTTGACATAGCAAATCGAAGCTTAGAATTTTAAAGTTATCGCTACTTCAAGCCAGGGGCGCAGCCAGGAATTTGAAGATGGGGGACAAAAAAAATTTAAATGGAAAATTCAGAAAGAAGGGGGGGGGAGGGGTTTTTATGATTTTTCATAACACTCCTAGCAAAATGATGAAATTTCTGTTAACGTCGGAGGATATGTCCCCATCCCCCCCCTCCCTGGTTACGAGTCTGTTTCGAGCCTAATTTTGAAATTTTATTTAAATTTCCATATAAAAGTGTCATTTGAGAACATGTCCTTTACTTAGGGTGACCCAGGGGTGTAGCAAGAAAAAAGGGGGGAGGTTGTTCTTAAGTGCACCCCCCCTTGAGATTTAAAGTTTGAAAATAAATTGAATGAAATTATAATCTCAAGGGGGGGGGGGGAGACAAATCAATGGTTAAATCAAATAATTGGCTCAGGAATTTTTTAAGGATTTTTTCAGAATTAATCCTGAGTTTCCATCCTTTGATTATTCTATTTTACTGCTAGATATCATGAACATGAATATTTTGAGTGATCAAAAAATCAAATTTCTTGATTATCGTCATTTAAAAGCAACCTTTAAGCAACCTACACAACATCATCATTATCATTTTCAAATAAACTTCTTTTCTAATTTTCCGATACCTCTCAAAAAACCTTCTCGAGCTCAATTTAATTACTTTTAAGAGCCTTCAAAAAGAATTGATCATGAAAAGCTTTCTTCACTCAAAACTTTCACCAAAGAAGAAAGTCAAGAATATTGTCAACGTCAATTTAAAAAGTTTCGTCAATTAAGCTCATTAGAAGAAGTAAAAAGTTCAACAAAAGGATCCTGTATTAAACTTTTATGATCCAACTTATTTTTAAGTTCAAAATAATTGAAAAAATTTTTGCTCAAAAGACAAAACGAAAGCTTAAAGTCAAACAATTATGAATACACAATGAAGAAGATGAGAAGGCTGAATGTGAGTTTTGTGTCAGCATAAAATATGCGTTCACATTTTTCGGGCTTTCCACATTGATTACCATCAATTTTTCATTGATTTTTATTGAGCATGTAGCATACACGTATTGAATAAATAGAGGAAATGAATGTGAAAGAAGGCAACATTTTTCACACTCTGATAAAATGAAGAAAAACATTTTTTTTTCTATCTCCCGGAAAGTAGATATAGAAAAAAGAATGAAAAATAGACAAGAGATTTATTGATTACGAAATAATGTTTGTAGGTGAATTTTGTGAGAATTTTGGGGTGCACTGTAGTTTGGTGGCTCAGTGGAAATAACTTTATTTAAGCCTAAACTTAGCGAACTTAGCAAGTGGTTCGGATCCCACTATAAACTGTAGGTCTAAAGGGTATGGCACAATAGATTCGTTACAAATTGAATCGCAGTGCCTCCAGCTGAAAAACTGGGCCCTTCAAACATTATTAAGATTAAGCTGAGGATTCAGGGCGAGGAGGTCCTAAGTTATGACCTCGAACCCCTTCTTCTGGTCACACTCATGTAAAGCATCCAATCAGGACTTTTTGAAATTTTTAGAACTACGGCATCAATTGCTGTACTCACGCTTTACTACGTTTAATCCTAAAGCCTAGATTTTGATACTTACTTCCTTGGCTGTGGCGCACGTGGGCCCATTGCCACGCTTAGAGATCGTCTGAAGACAGCTTTTTCCTTAGAAACCTTCGGCCAGTTCGGGATATTAAGGACTCTAGCGTCCTTTTCAACACATCCAATTCAGGTATTCTTTGGTCTTCCTCGTGATCTCATGCCATCCATAAAGTCTGCTACTGTCAATTTTGATAGCTAGGCTGCAATTTGAGACACACTAGGGTCATTAAAAACTATAGCCACGAGGCTGGTTGTATGTCTGGCTACAACCTTAAAATAGCATTCCTTAATCCACACAAATTCTGACGAAATCCTCATAATCCCAACATGTATCCTCACAGCAAACAACACGAAAAACACTCTCATTAATAATATCCATTCTCTCCTTCTCATCCCCAAATCTCCCATCTAGACCACCGATTCAATTCCAAAGACAGAATCAGCATCAACAAAATCAACATTCAAGCAATGAAGTACAAGTAGAAGTTCCAATTGATGAATCCACATTAACAAATGATGCGAGTACATCAGCAGCTGCCACAACAGCGTACATGCAGTTGCATCAATCACCAACATCATCATCATCGCAGACAATTACGACAATCGCATCAATTAATCGACCGGATGATAATGACAAAGCGTTATCGATGATATTGCCGCGCGATGTGACATCATTTATCAAGATTAATGAAATGACAGCAAAATGTCACAGGAATTCGACAAAAAAGTCACAGAATGAGGATGTGACAGTAAATTGTAACAGTAGAAATAAAATTAGTAATTGTAGTAGTAGTAATAATAATATTGAGAGTAGTGACAGTAGATGTACAAGTTATATTGATAGGCACAGTAATTGTAATAAAGATTTTGACCATCACAACCATCATCACGTTAATAGAGCCAGTAAAATTGATAATGTTAAAGGAAGTGAAGATTATAATATTGAATGTAAAAATGTAAATATCAGCAATATGACGGAACTTAATAAAGCACTGATGTCCAATTCACATGTGTCGACATTGCCTCGTAGCACACAAACACGTGCGAGCTTTCTCGATCGTGACAGATGTGAAATGGGCATTAGGTAATATTTAATTTGAAATATATTGGATGATGTTGCTTATGCTTATGCCTGACTGCTCATGTATTATATTTTTTTATGAAATTTATTTCATTTCCAGCTATTTCAGCAATAAATTTTTATATATGAACTTTTTTTTATATTGTTTCAGCACATTTCAGAGGGGTAAAAAAATATTGGAAACAAGTGTGGGAGGAACTGATACATAAATCAGATGAATTAAATTTATACAATTATATTAATGACATTTGTGCTGTACATCTGTGTGATGTGTTCCTTACTCAGTAAAAAAAATATATAAATTCATTATGTCAATGTCGATGTTGATTTATTATGGATTGTCATGAGCATGGTCAATTTATGGTTGATTGCAAAACCTTACATGATGTGAGTGGTGTGACTAGATTTTTTTTTTGATCATAAAACTGTCAATGAGGATGTATAGCTGCAGTTTAGTGTTTAACACTCACCAATCTAGTCCTACGTCTTTTTTATGAGATTCGAACCCCTTCTTTGATTGCATTCTTAATTGTAACTTTCAAAACTTAAACTTTAACTTTGATTTTCAGGAGCTAGTTACTATTTACGGTACCCCAACCCTCAAAACGGATGAACTTCACTTTAGAGCGTAAGTAAAATTTGAATGTGACTAAGCTAGGCCTGATAATAACACCAGAAACGGAGATCAGTTCATATTGTTCATAAAGTGACAAGCTGATCTTCTGAGATTCGAACCTAGACGTCTGTAGTAATTTTAAGATATTCAAGAATTAACCTTAAAGATAGCTTTGCAAATGATTCAATTTATTTAACTCTAACTTACTTACTTACTTGGATGATCTTGCAGATCAGTTGTGATCCATGGCTTTGGAGCCGTTCAATTATGACGTCCGAAATTAACGGTCATTTTTCAAAAACAAACAATGGATTTCTAGGAATTTCTATTGTTCTTTTCTGTCTGCCCCCCCCCCCCCTGGACGTCATAAGAGAACGGCCCCTTTCTTCAGATGCCGCTTAAAACTGACTCTATCGCTGGCTACCTGAGTTAACTCTAAAGCAGATTTCAAAGTCAATTCGAGTCTCCTCAGTGATTATCGACTCTATACTCTACAGATCCAATTCAGTTACAAACTATTAAATCACAAAAACTCAGCTTTACCCTTTAAAAAATTTTACAAAAAAAATTCATGATTAATCTCGAAAAGCTTTAACACAAAATCAACAGAAAAGCATTTCTTCCTCCACAAAAAAAATTTATTTATTTTAGCTACCTTCACAGTTCCTTATAAAATGATTTTCTGATGAAAAAGAAACTTCCTTGAGATTACGAAGAAGGAAACAAAATCATTTTCATGACCGACTGCAAAACACCCAAAGGATATGAAATGTAAACTTTGTCCTTTAATTTCTCCTTCATTTTTTCAAAGCTCCTTTAATTTATTTTATATCAACACAGAAAAAGTTTCTCGTTCTTCATTGACTTCTCAATTAATACCTATGAGATTTTTTGATATACCTTAATAACATCCCATGATGATAGAATTTTCAATTTCTTTTTTTAAGCTTTTTTTCTGTAGAAGGGCTCATTCAGGGGAAAGGAGGTATGTGTGACTGCCTGCTTGATGATTGTTCAATAACACTGGGTAGCACTGACTGATCTAAGAGATCTGCGACTGTGGATGGCTTGGGTTGCTTCATCTAGTCAAGCTAATAGCTTCCATATCCACCTTATGCCAACTTGATGCTTCCATCCTACAACTCCTGACTACTCCTCTGCTCTTCTGATAGTTAACGATAAATTTCTCATATCTTATTAATTTTTAAAATTATATATATCCAAGGAATAATGAAGCAATGGAGCAATTTCTTTGGAATGTGAGGCACGTCTCAAAATTATTGATGAGTTAATTTGAGAAAGAATGAAGAAAATTTTCTATAAACTACGTGCAAAACTGAAGAACGTCAAAATTTATCTTCGTACATAATTTATGAATATTTGGAGGAAGGAAATGTGTCGTTATTCATACAAGCTATAGTTTTTCGATATGATTCACATTTTATGAGTAAAGTTGGAAACTTAATGACGTAAATTTCTTCATCAATACCCCAGACGCATACCCTCATTCCTGGAAAATAAACATTAAAATTGTGACATATTACGCAACATAAAGTATCCTGAATTTATAATCATCTGCCTTTGACTAATTTATTGCTTTTAGCCTTAATGTTCATAAAAAATCCTAATTGAAAAATACTTTTGGGAATTTTTTCTCACTCACTTTAATGGCTCTCAAAATCATTATAAATGGATCAAAAAAAGAAGAAAACTTGGTACGGCAATTAAGAGAGAATTTATAGAACTTCGTTCATTTTATAGCTTGGCTTAGGGGAGTAAGGTGGGGTGTTGAGATTATTTTGGCTGACTGTCTGAATGTGTTAATTTTAAAAGAGCTTTAAATTTTTCAAAAAATTCTGAATGCCTCAAAAAGCTCTGCTTGATTTTGAAAGCTCTGAATGACTCAAAAAGCTCTGCATGATTCAAAAAGCTCTGAATGACTCAAAAACCTTTCTATGATTCAAAAAGCTCTGCATGATTTAAAAAGCTCTGAATGAATTAAAAGGTTTTGTTTGATTCAAAAAGCTCTGAATGACTCAAAAAACTTGATTCAAAATGATTCAAAAAGAATGATTCAAAAAGTTGTACATGATTCAAAAAGCTCTGAATGATTCAAAAAGCTCTGAATGACTCAAAAAGCTCCGAATGATTCAAAAAGCTTTAAAAGAATCAAAAAGCTCTGCGTGATTTAAAAAAGCTCTGAATGACTCAAAAAGCTTTGTATGATTCAAAATGCCATTAATGGTTCAAAAAGCTCTACTTGATTTAAAACTACTTAACAACATGCGCTCTATGCTTAATTTTCCTCATCCTCATCCAAACCCTCATACCAATTTTTATTTTTTATTTTGTTATTGTATGTTATATGAGGAACAAGAAGAAGAGGAGGAAGGAGAAAGGCAATTAAGTAAAAAGCTCATAAATACGGAAATTCTATAAATTTGCTGTGTCGAAAAGCACCACCGCATATACAGACAGAGTCTTTTATATATTTTTTTTAAACAAAGCTGAGGAAATTTTGTGGCAATAAAAGGAGATTCCTTCTTGCTGTTTTTCACGCTCAATGAGAAATAAATCAAGTGGAAAGGAACAAAAAGAAAGAAAGAAATTGTGGGAGTTAATTAAGTTTTTTTTCTTCTTCTTCCATTTGGATATTGCTCCTCTCTATTCTGTGAATACATACGGTACGGCCATATATTAAATAAGACAGATGTTTATTGGTTCTTTCAATGTCTTCTAACTCTCCATTAAGTGCTTGTTAGTTTCCTTCCTTTATCCTTTGCCTTTTTTTTCTCTCTTTTTCATGCTCATTTGTTTTTTGATTATTAATTCACAAACAGCTACTTTGCCATAGTTTCCATTGTTTTTTCTGCTTCTCACTTCCTTCCTTCCTTCCACTTTTACGTTTCTGGTTTCTAATGTTCACTCAATGACGTCAAAAGACTCACGGAGCTTTTAATGATCATTAAAAGGACTAAAGAGTTTCTGCGAACGACAGAGTAATGCTTAAGTTGTAAATAGAAATTGTAGGGAAATGTCAATGAATGATTAGGATTAGTCGGTGATGATTAATGGATGGATGGAAAAATCATGTTGAAATCTAGGAGTTGTCTTGTGAGTTTTTTCAATGATATTTAATTAAATTAATTGGAATTTTTGCAGTTTGTGTCTGACTAAGGTATCTAGTAAGGGCAAGAATTAAGTTATGTTGTCTTCTTTCAACCGGGGGGTGGAGCCAGGAATTTGATGTGGGGGACATAATAAAAACCCTAGCAAAATTAAGAAATTTCTATTAACGAATTTGGGCGATTGCCCCCCCCCCCCCCTTCCGACTACTTGCCTGGCTCTGACATAAAATATTCATTCTAGAGTTCAAGCAACAATATATTCACCAGGGAATAGTTTTTACGACTCCTGGGACTACCCGAGGATCAAAAATCGATGTTATATACTTTGAGGTTATAATGAAATTTACACGTGACTTGGTCTCTTAAATGATTCTACAAAGAGCCTCAAGGAGTCGACTTCTTAGCCAAACCCTAATTCTATCGCTTACACATGTCTTGCATTGTACTCCCCCCTGGTTGTTGTTCTTTACCCCTTCAAGCTCCATACACTGTATGACCTTATGTCACATAATTTATCCTCATATTATAAACAAAGATCTTCAACATCAAAGGGTAATTAGTCTTAAATAGAGCAACCTTTTTCCGCTGTTTTATTCTTGATAACTTACGCTTCAATTTGTTGGATATTTTTCAACCATTGCTTGTATCATTTTTATCCATTCATCTTCTTTTCTTCCTTCCTATTCACGTTTTTAACACAACAATCGGCTTTCCAGTCATGCATGCATTCAAAGAAAGCACAAAGAACATAAAGATAGGAACCTTTGACTTTAAATCACATCATATTATGTTGTGGAAGGCAATAAAATGTGAATAGGATCACATCCTCAGCGGTTTCCGATTGTATCCCACACAAATGATTTTGAGTAAACACATAAGTAGGCCATTTCATATGCAGAACGGAAAAAAAGAAGCTGGAACAATGAAACAATAACATTGATGATGTGTATAAAAGTGCTTTTTATGATTCCTTTAAAAAAAATAGGGGAAACAGTAACAAAAGGTAACCGAAAGAGAGGGAGCAAACATTTGTAAAGGCTTTGTTAAGTGCAACATTTATGTGGCGTTCTGAGAATATAAAAAAAATGATGGATTTGTGTCATAAATTTTGACCTACATATGAGATTTTTATGCTTTATGAATCATGATTGCGAGCGAGATGGAATGAGGAATGTAAAGGAGCATGTAAATGATATGGATTGTGGAGAATTGGAAGGGAAATATTTTAACCGCGATTTCTTTGAGGATCAATGCGTTTAAAGGTCGACTTTAGCTGGCTGA